AAACCCTCCTCCCCAGCCCCTGTCCACTCCACTATGCAGCCTTCATTCTGGACTCCTGTCATGACAATAATACCTAATCACATATCCCTTTTAAACAGTTCCTTCCCTCATCTGTTTCAATGCAGTATATATAATTTATCCCATCTTTCTCAGTCTCCCCCCAACCCCAATGTCAGTCCCGTTTTACAACAGTGGCATTATGCTGTATTTGTCCTTTTGTGATTGAGATATTTCACTCAGCATAATGTCCTCCAGGGTCACCCATTTAATATAATATTGCATGAGTTCCTTGTTTTTCAGTGCAGCATAGTATTCCATTGTGTGAATATACCACAGCTTCTCTGTCTGTTCACCTGTTGATGGGCACTTGGGTTGTTTTCAACTCTTTTCTATTGTGAACAAAGCTACAATAATCATGGGTGTGCATATATCTGCTTGGTTGGCAGTTATGATTTCTTTGGGGTATATTTCAAGTAGTGAAATTGCTGGGTCAAATGGTATTTCTATTTGCAACTTTTGAGAAAGTGCCATACAGCCTTCCATAGTGAGTGCACCATTTTACACTCCCACTGACAGTGAATAAGGGTTCCAATTTCTCCACATCCTTGCCAGCATTTGTTGTTTGCTGTTCTGTAAAATTTTGCTATTCTGACTGGGGTGAGATGATGTCTCATAGATGTTTTGATTTGCATCTCTCTTAAAACTAGGGATTTTGAACATTTCTTCATGTATTTGTTTGTCATCTGAATGTCTTCTTTGGTGAAATATCTGTTCATATCCTGTGCCCATTTTTCAATTGGATTGTTTACCTTTATCTGGTTGTGGTGTTATTCTTAAAAGTAATTAAATTGCATGGACCTTGCATGGCTTCCTAAACCCTTTTATAATTTCTCATATTTGATCTGTACAGACTAAAGTGGCAAATATTTATTAAATATCAGGTTCATCATACATTCTGACAATAAAAGTTTCACTTTTGAAATATAGAGAAATAAGCTGGGTGATGAGGTTTAATGT